CTATCCTATCCTATCCTATCCTATCCTATCCTATCCTATCCTATCCTATCCTATCCTATCCTATCAATCACCCCTCTCTCTCTCTCTCTCTCTCTCTCTCTCTCTCTCACACACACACACACACACACACACACACACACACACACACACATTTTCCCACTGATGTACCAGCCTACATTTCTAGAACAGCCAAACTGGCTGTAGATAAGAAGGATTATAAAGTCGAGAGCATCGGATTGAGGACAGATAAGTTAGCCACATCCCTTTCCACCATCCCGAGCTTTCACAAACCCGACGGGCACATTCAAATAAATAAAAAATAAAAAAATCTGAAGACGATCAAAACTGTCCACAAAACGCATTTTCTTGAAAAGAGCCTCGCACCGAAGAAAGTGGTCCGGCCCGGCTCTTCTAAACAGTTTTGGAAACGTCACGTGAAACCCTCGGGGCTTACTTCCGAGGGGAGCAGGGTTTAAACCCGCTACAAGCCCTTTTGCGGCTCTGAAGCCCTTCCAGCTGCTCAATCCTAGCGCCGGACGGCGAGCTAGCTAGCGCCCATTCGCCCAGCAACCTACCTTCCCGAACCCCGCAGAAGCCAAGACGGGCGCGGGCGCGCGCGCTTCAAGCCATCCCGGGACTCCCTTCTTACCTTGGGCCAGCGGCAGACAGACGACCAGCGCCCAGAAAAAGCAGCCCAGGTATTTGGCGGTGTAGGAATCCATCGCCAAACGCGCCCGGCGAAGGGGCTCATGCCCTACTTCGAATGCCTACGATGGAAAAGAGGACCGAGGCCGCCTCCGCTGCACGCGGGAGGGGGATTCCCTCCGCCCAAGAAGTGCCCCCGCTTGCCTTCGCCTACAGGCGAGATTTCATGGCGATTTATATATGTATATATATATAAATATATTTGTATGTTTGGTCATTTGCTTTCCTTTCTTTTTTTCCAGGAAGGAAAGGGAGGGGAACTTTCTGCCGCAGCAGCAGGAGGAGGAGGAGGAATGGTTCTCGCTGTAAGAAATCCAAGCCCCACCTAAACTGGGGCGAAGCTCTTCTCTCCTGACCAAGGAAAAGGGGCCAAGGCATTCTCACGTTCGCGCTCTCACTTTGCCGGGAATCTGCCTGGGAGGGGGAAACAAAGAAAGAAAGAAAGAAAAAAGAAAGAAAGAAAAGGGGGGGGAGAACAGGCGTAGGAATAGCAAAGAGGCGGAGAAAAGAAGGGAGGAAATACAATACTAAAAAAAAAAAAAAGGCGGTCAGGATTGCACTTCAGCTAGTTGGGTCTTTTGGCTGCCATCCTGACGTGTGTATGTACTGCTCCTCCCCGGTTCCACTTGTTGCTCAATAATCCGCATCCCAACCATCTTCCCTGCGCCGAGATGAAGGAAAGCGAGATGAATTTGACTCCTCCTCCACTCTCTCAGAAACAGGCCCCGTCTTTTAGATTAGAAGCGAAGCGGTCAAGATTTCCGCGCATCGGCGTTTAAGGAGTAGCGGATCGCGCAAACAGGACGCCTGGCTATTCTTTCCCGTGCTTGGCTAGGGTTGCTCCGCTAGATGCCGGAACGTTTGCTAGAGAGAGATTGGATTTGGCTAAACAGCAGTTGCTTGATTTCCAAAAAACACCGTTTAAACGCAATCTTAATCCAATCGCTTTGACAGCCCTGTGGGGCAGCTTCCTTTGGAAGCTACCTGCAAAGATATAACAGAAAGTTAAATGGAAAAAGGCCTCCCACAAATTTTTACGATAATGAGATCCATAGAATATAAAATCATAGGGCTGAAAGGGACCTCAGAGATCTTCTAGTCCAACCCTTTGCTCAAGGAAGGAGATTATACCATCCTGGTCAAATGGTTGTCTAGGACATGGGTCTCCAACCTTGGCAACTTTAAGACTTGTGGACTTCAACTCCCCAAGTTCCTCAGCCAGTATGGCTAGCAGAAGAACTCTGGGAGTTGAAGTGCACAAGTCTTAAAGTTGCCAAGGCTGGAGACCCCTCTATTTTTTAAAAAAACTTTCAGTGAACTTACTGCTCACCATATATCTCTCTTGACAACTTTGACCTTCAGAACCCACTGGTGGGAATTTTTTTTGTATGTGTTGTATTAAAAAAAATAAAAGTCCACTTGTCTGTCAGATGGTTGAATCAGATCAAGTCAGTGGTATTTGACCAAGATTTATTTGACTTTATGATCAGGTGACATCCACCTAGCTTGCGTGGTACAGGGAAAAAAGGCTAACATTTATCCAGGTTTTATGGTCTCCCTCTGAAGTAGCCTGAAGATACCTTTAGATCAAGGGTCTTCAAACTTGGCAAGTTTAAGAGTTGTGGACTTCAACTCCCAGAATTCCTGAGCTAACGTGACTGGAGGAGGAATTCTGGGAGTTGAAGTCCACAACTCTTAAAGCTGTCAAGTTTGAAGACCCCTAGATGGATTGTTGCAGACGCAGTGTTTTTCCTCTTATTCCAAGCAAAGGCTTTCTGCTCAGACATCCATGGTGAATTTGAAGTGACATGGTCAGAGGCAGCAAGTTTGGTTGGTCTCGGTATGGCAGATTTGCTGTGGAATTGCTCCTTCCACCCAGTCTTTGGAACCAGCACCCGTACAGTACTTCAGTGCTGATTTGACTGCAAGGCAAACCAGAAGCCCAGCTTTTGCAGTCATTTAGTTTCCCCCTTTTAAACAAAACTCTGAAATTGATCAGTCTCTGCTTCATGCATGTAACTGAAATGATTTACCTTTTTTATGGCCTATATGACATGGAATTCCCTTACCCGAACGCTGCTGCCAAGGGTTCCCTGGCTCCTAGCATCTTAGGGTAATTTACAGTTCCTGCCCAGGCAGGAGTGGGCTTCAAAAATTTTAGCAACGGGTTCTCTGCCCGGTTGCTGGGTGGGGACATGGTGGGCGTGGCCTAGTTGGCCTCTTGCACCACGGTGGGGGGAGGGGTGTTTTTGCCATCCCTGGGCTCTGGAGTCTCTCTGAAAGCTGGAAATGGGCCCATTTCTGGCCTTCCCAAACTTCTGGGAGGCCCATTTTTCACCCTCCCCGAGCCTCTGTGTGTGCCCTGCACTTACCTGCATCCGAAACTGGCCGTGTGGGGATCAGGGCAGGGGAGGGGTGGGCAGGGCAGGGCGAGCCAGGAGTGAGATTTGGGGGCTCTTCGAACTGCTAAGAATCTTAGCTAGGGGCTCTCCCAAACCCCTGCAAACCTAGCCCAACCCTGTGCTCAGGACTTTATCACTTACTGATTGTCTACCTCTACACAAATCCAAACAACCGCTAGATGGAAGCTAAGAGATACATCCAACTCCAACCCTCTATTGCCATAAAGTGATCAAAAAGTCAATGCATGGAACCATTTAAGGAACCATAAAATGGTTCACTCAGTTGACGATACGATAAAAAAAATGCAACAAAAAAGGCATTGCATGAAATAACCCCAATATTGTGCCATTTGGAGGAGGCTTTTCACATGATCAACAAATGAGATTGGATAGAACTGCAATTTCAGCTGAAGGAACCACTTCCAAATGGCCTTACAATATGTATTAAAGTTGTATAGATGGCAGCAGAGACCAAACCTATTCTGGGTGCTCAGAAAAAGGCATGTTGAAAGGTCAACGAAATGTAGTGTGGCATGTATCACTTTCCTTTATTAAAAACTGAAGAGAGGTTGTGATTTCTGACATTAACATGAGTTTGAACCCATGGAGTTTGATCCCCTCATTCAATTCCTGTTATCAAAGCTTTTTAAGGAGAATATTGTTTTAAGGTGTTTTTTTTTAATTTTCTCTACACTCAATTTCTTTACTCTGCCCAACCATAAACATTTGGCGGGGAGGGCACCAACAGAGTGTTCAACTATTGGTTGTGTCAACTGGCCCAAAGTCACCCAGCTGGACTTCATGTCTAAAGTGAGACTAGAATTCACTGGTTTCCAACCTGGTTTGTGGTCATTTTGCCAATTGGCAAAGAAGAGCTTTAAGGCACAACGTTCTATGAAAGTTTGAATAAATATGTGATTGGCAAGATCTGTCAAAATGTAAGAGCCTAAGAAACTGATTTGGGTTTCTCCAGATCACAGTATAATAGCAGAAAATAATAATAGCCTTGAGTATTTTAAAATGGAAACAATATAGCACATTCTCTCTTGTCAACTTTGCAGCAATTGCTAAAGGAGGAGAGAGAGAAAGAGAAATTAATCATATTGCTTTGTTTGTTTATCTTACACTGCTGCCTTACTTAGCCTGGTGCCTTCTGTTGTGTTAGGTCATGATCCTTATCTGCTCCAGGAGTATGTGCAAAAAATTATTAAAACAAAACACTGTTCAAAGAAATCAGAGCTAGTACAACAATGTCTTTCTGCGAGATATACTCCAGGTAAAAATATGTCTCCTTTCAGATCTTAAAATTAACAAATTTCTGCTTGTAGAAACACAATAGAAAATTGTACTGCCTGCGGAGATTATGTTTTCTGTCATTTGAGGACATTCCCCTCCGGATTCCTCCCTCTTTCCCTCCCCATAAGTAGATAAAATCAGATTTCACCTTCCTTCTCCAACCTCAAGATTCTTTCCAGTGGCCTGACTTCACTTCCTCACCATTGTTCTTGTTATAAAATGCCTTCCTGGTGTTCAACCTAAGTCTTTCCTTTGTAGCCTAAAACCATTTCCTTCTTGCTGACAAACCCGCCCCCCCAACTCCCCAGAACAATAGACTGCTCAGAGCATAAAATGAAGGGGCAGAGGGAGCTGCATGTTCACATCTGTCACAGTTCTTTTATTTTGAACAGTAAAGTGCAATCCTAGGAGTCACACATTTAATCAAGTCCATCCATGTACCAAAGGTACTAAAGGGGTACTAAACCTTTCTCTCTCTCCCCCTCCCCAACATCGTCTTTCCTAAATCCTTTGCCCATTAAAAATACCCTGAATTGTCATGTCCCCGTTGGAGCCTGAATCTGCAGAGGAGGACTAGCCGGAGCTGGAGCCAACAGAGATCAAGGAGGAGGTGGTTTTGTTGGCTTTGGAGGAATGTGGGGAAGGGCAGGCTGAGGCAGCCCAGGGCAGGGAGGAATGGGGCAGAATGACTGAGAGAGGGCAAGCAGTAGAAATGAGGAGCGACAGATGATGAGCAAGGACCGCCCCTTCCTGATCCCCAAGCGCAGAGAGTGAAGAGAAGGTGGAAACAGCGCAGGCTGACCCTACAACTCGGGAGGAGAGCACCCCGCCCCTCTTCACAAGGCACACCTAGGGACTGAGGTTTAAGGAAACGCTGTGGGGCGGGCCATTTGTCAGGAACAAACGCTGAATTTGTAGAGCTTTGTGTGTGCCATTGAAGACATTTGGAGTTTGCAGGACTGCTTGCTTCTTCCTTGCTTCGTGGACTCAGAGCCCTTGTTCCTGGCTTTGTGGACTCATTGTTTGTTCCTTGGTTCATGGACTCATTGTTTGTTCATTGTTTCGTGGACCCATTTCCCTGTTCTTTTGTTTTGCTGGACTGGGTGCAGCCAGAGGCTGCCATGTATGTGTGCGTGCACTTTGCTCTGGGACTTGCCAAGAATGTGGGAGCATTTGGGGAGAAATTTGGAGCATTAAAGGGGTGTTTGAACTCTCAGCTGGCTGTGTGACCTTCATGCCTTGTCCTAGGTCATCCCAAGAAGTATCTATTTATATATTCTCATTTAGCATTACACTTTTATTCTACTTTCATCCAGGAGCTCAAAGTAAGACAAAGTTACCTGGCAGGTTTCCCCTGTCCGGTTATGTCCACCTCTAGGAGAGTGGTGCTCATCTTTGTTTCCTAGCTGAGGGAGCCAGCATTATGCAAAGACATTTTTTGTCATCATTTGGC